GAATATGTAACAAAACTGTCTGAGAGAGGTGAAATTTTTTTAAAGGTAAGAGTTTCTTCTTTTTTAAAAATATGTTTTTATTGGTTTTAGAGAGAGAGGAAGGAATAGGGAGAAACATCAATGAGAGAGAACCATCATTTGGCTGCCTCCTGCACATCCCCTACTAGAGATCAAGCCTGCAACCTGGCCATGTGCCCTGACAAGGAATCCTATTGTCAACTTCTTGGTACATGAGATGATGTTCAACTAGCTGAGCCACACTGGCCAGGGCTAAGAGGGATGGATTTTAAAGACAAATACAACAACCACATAGGGACAAAAGTGGGATATTTCTGAAAGAGGCCAAGTATGAAAGAACCTTGCTTGATCATGGCCTATGATAGACTGGCTGAGGTTGAAGTTGGACAGAATGGCCAGGCCTAGCTTGAGAATCGCAAGTAATTAGGGCTGTATCTTGAAAACATTCATTCATTCCGGATCTACTGAACATTTCTGTTAGTTCTAAGGAATCCACTGAAAATTCATAAGCAGGAGAACTACAGAATGGGCTTTATATTTTAGGAAAAAAACATCAGGTAACCAAACAAAGAGGACATGTCTAATAGCCAGACAATAGATGTCCAGTGAATTGTGATCATCTTTTTTCTTTACATTAAAGCAGTGAAAATTATTCCCGCAATATCTTTACTAACCTTACAACATGGTCTTCAGGGGTGGGAATTGCCCATAATCCATAGACTGAGCATGTAGTTAGCTAGCCTACTGATATGCCATTAATAGTTGAGATGATGGATTCATTCTTTCAGTAAATATGTATTGAGTACCCACTGTCTGCTAGATTCTATGTGGGGGCCATGGGATATCATGGTGAACATAATAGATACGGTCTCTGACTTCACAGTGTTTAGAAATGTGCATGAGCCAGGCTTAATGCAAACAAAACACAAAAAAGCGCATAATTATAAATTATGGCAAGTCCTGTGGGGAAGAGTGAGGGAATTTAATTTAGAGGGAGGAGTATTCAGGAAAAGCCTCCCTAAAGTGATGTCACTTAGTTGAGGTCAAAAAGGAGAGAAAATGGGAGAGGAGAACATGGAAAAGGGCAGGGAAGAGCCAGTGGAGTTCATGAATGATGGGGAGAGAAATGTAAGACAAAGATGAGAGGTGAGTGTGAGGCAAGAGGCCAGATTATGCACGGTTGTGCAGGCCTAAGGGAGATTATGAATAATTAAAATACTTAAGTTCCTCCCTAAATGTTTTAGTAGCCCATAAAAATATGTCTTGTCTATGCA